AGCAGCGGACGTTGGACGTAGGATTTGGACGGAATTTACAGGACAACGGGTGCATAATAGCATAGGTGAAGAGAGTAGCCTATGCTATAGAAAATTCGTATTTGTTAGCATTATATTTTATTGAAACGCTTCAAGTGCTGTGGGCTGTGGCTGTGACTGTGTGCTAGGGCCCATGGCCATTGGCATTGATCCGCCCACGCCTATATGTAGCTACCCCGAATTAGTTTAGCACATAATTATGGAAAACAATTTGCGGGAGTCTCATCTTGGCTGATTGATAGGCTATATACCTATATTACAATATCAAAAGCCTTAATACTGCTAAATAGAATGCCGTTGTGAACAAGAAGGTAGACAACACAATACGCAAATATGATGCGCTGTCGTTCGACTGTGTATGCGCGTCACCTAGCGGCTAAATAGTAAATGAAGGTCCGCGCGATCTAGTCTGCAACCGAAATAGCCTATGAGATTAAGGCGTTAGAGATATTGATGTCGTGTAAAATGGCACTATTTGTTATTTTGCGAGCTTGTTAATCATAGTTAAATAGGCACTGTTTGTTACGGTATTGTTGTCCTGGTGTGTATTTATTCGGCTCGATATGATTGATTGTTGAGTTTGATTTGATTATTAATCGAAGCGTAATATTTGACTCGTGATGACAAACAAAACAAACTAATAATAGTCATAGTTGCTCTGATATAGATACTAGATATTATATGTACGTCTTATGGTTTTATTCAAACTAGCAACGTCATACGTTTTCTATTCGAATTATGAAAATCTTTACATTAAATTCGCAACTTCATCAATTCGGCCCTTGCCCTCCGCCCCTTCTCTCGGCACTCCTCGCACTTGTACTCTCTCGTCTTCTTTCTCTCGTCGCTCTCTCTCTCTCTCTCTCTCTCTCTCAAACGTTCTCTCTCTCTCTCTCTCTGCTCTCTCTTTCTCTCTCTACACGTTCTCTCGCTCTCTTCTCTCTCTCCTCTCTCTCTCTCTCTCCTCTATCTCTCTCTCTTCTCGTCTCTCTCTCGTCTCTCTCTCTCCTCTCGTCTCTCTCGCTCTCTCTGCTTCTCCTCTCTCGCTCTTTCTCTCTCTCTCTCACACTTTTCTCTCTCTTCTCTCTCTCTCTCTTCTCTCTCTCTCTCTCTCTCTGCTCTCTCTCTCTCTCTCTCTCTCCCTTTCTCTCTCTCTTTCTCGATCTCGATGCTCGCTCTCCCTCCCCGCGTCTCTCATTCGTTCTCTGTCTCTCGCTCACTCGCCTTCCTTCGTACTATCCTTAGCTTCACCGGGTTCTAATTAAGCACATACGACCGGGTACACACTATATCCAGGAAGTAAAGATATATAGGTAATCTAGCGAAGATATATTCTAGTATATCTACTCCTGTAATATGATGTAAATACTTTTTGCTGCATTCATATTTCAGGAGTGAGTGATAGGTATTATTATCAGGGAGTGTTTAATCATCTCTATAATACACTCCTGAGATTATGAACATTGCAGGAGGCCGCATGCCCCCCTCCCCACATGGGTATACATCCACACGACAAGCACAACATACGCACGCACGGCACGCGCACGCCACACGCACCACGCAAGTCACGCAGCACATCCACAGTACATACATACATTAATGATGACAATACACACACGCGCGGTATTCCAAACCTGCGCGCAACACTAAAGCAGATATGTTGCTTTCGGCTGAACGAGCAGGTGAGCGCGATATATCATCTTATATATTTATATATGTTTAATATTGATTATTATTATTAATCGAGATTATTTTATTTCGATTTTCCTTCCAGTAAAGTCGTGTCTGTTGATCGCGTAAGCGTTGAACGCGGACGTAACAGTAAAAAGTGATGGGCTTGTCTTGTATTTATCCTACATACTCAATTTATTACGGCTGCAAACTTATGCATAGGCACGTTCTACCGAACAGTTAGGACTCAGTCCAGACTTAGAACTATTATATATATAGATATAGTATATATATTATATATTCATTTATATCATTTGATGTATGCTATTATGGAATGTATGTATATACGCTAGCGTCAGCATGATATCGGTGCGCCCTGGATATGACAAAATATATTGTATACTGACTATTTTTATGTTAAACGTAATAAAACACACACGGGGAGCTTCCCGCGTGGCTCCATTGACTATTTACTACAGATTCACACGCTAACCATAAATGAATAACTTTTCACTTCTAGATAGATAGACAGCTCAAATATATAATATATATATATATATATATATATATATATATATACGCCATTAGTCTCCTAACATTACAGAGACGTATGATATGTAACAATTGGCTTTGGATCTTCTTTTTCTTGCATACTATTGTGTAAAGTAAATACAGGTTCCACATCAATTGGCCGGACTTTATTATTCGTCGGTTTTGTCTCCAGTGATGTCTCTCTGGGTTCTTGTGCAATTAGCAGACGTGCATCCCGATAGCTTTTACTACAAGCAAGCAAAGACGGTAAAGCACCACGAAGCAATATGGCTTATGTGCTAAATTATCTGCTAATTATTATGAATGATGTGTGATTCACTACCGTGTCGAATCAGACAGCAAACACGACTTTACCGGATAATTCACGTGTATGTACATTGGTTTCACAGTCATTGCCATATCGCGCACAACATTTGGTCATCGTCTGTGCCAACCGGAAATAAACAAAAGAAACGTACCTGAGAAATCGGGAATCCTCCAGAGACTCCATAAGTGGCAGTTGTGATGTCTCAGGAATAATAACGGAGACGACAGCCGCTAGTATAGACAACGCGGCGAATATCAGCGGTGGTGCTTTAGGCTCCAAGATGCCAATGCTGTTGGCCAGATATGGGGCTATGATACCGCCGATGCGTGCAAATACGGATGATATGCCGAGACCTGCATTCCTATAAAATATGCACGTTTTACGAATGCTGTAATATCATAGTCTGCGTCACTTATCTGCGCATTATCAGTGTAGGTTAACAAATAGTTGTAGAAACAGCTAAACGGTTACTCGCGTAGACGCACAGCCTGTACTGTAAAGATCTTTAACGACATTTAGAGAACGTATACTATTTTACGCATACGGGTAGGTCGTATTAGATGCAATTGTTCATTTATTTGCTAAAGTTAAGAACTTTAGTATATATATATATATCAAGAGCTAATAATACCTAGAGTGTACAACGGAAAAACGGGAAAATAGTGCTATTTCACGACAACATTATTATACTTTGCCTGCAAGTCTATAATAATTTCATGGTATTGCATTAAGCAGAATTCTTTGCTCTCTAAAACAAGACCAACCGCTTGTCAATACGATACTCCTAGGCGGAGATATCGGCTCCTAAACCTCCCCTCCCACATGACAAACGCCGCCTCGAATACACTTCTGTCCCCATCCTTCACGCGTCTAAGCGTTGCTTCGTGAGAGTTCGGTTTCCGTCACCGCT